CCTCGCCTTCGTTTGCATATGAATGTGCACACACACACACACCACACCCACCACACACACACATCCCTCCCCACTTAACGGGGCATGCGATGGAAGCCCCTGGACTTTGTCTGCAGGACAGAGAGGCCCGGCTCTGGGGCGTTCTGGGGGAAATGAAGGTAGCCAGGATGCGCTCCCGGGTCCATGAGCTTGTGGAGCTGAAAAAGTGGAGCTGGGTGGGTGCTAACTGACCGTCCTGCCCCCTCCCTTCCCTTCCCTCTCGAGGCCAGCCAGGCCTGGGTGGAGGGAGCTTGGCTGAGCCGAGGACAGAGGGGGCTGGAGCCGGGGCCTGGTCCCTCCCTCACCAGTCCCCTTCCCTCCTAGGCTGAACCACCCCAACGTGGTGGCCGCCCGAGACGTCCCTGAGGGGATGCAGAGCCTGGCCCCCAACGACCTGCCCCTGCTGGCCATGGAGTACTGCCAGGGGGGCGACCTGCGCAAGGTGAGTCCCCGGCTTGCGGGCACCCCTGCCCGGGTGGGGAGCTGTTACCAGGAAGCCGGGAGCGCTGGGGCCCCTGGGGTGACCTCTGTTCTCAGATACCCCACCACGCCCAGTGCAGGTGGCATGTGTGCTGTGACTCAGGGCTCCTGCGTGGAGGGCAGGGCAGGGCTGGCTGCACGGTGAGCTGCGCGAACATTCCTGAAATGATGAGGCAACAGCCAGTGGGTCTCGGGTATTGGGGGGGCCTGGCCGGCTTCCAAAGCAAACCTTCCTCCCTGGGCTGGTCGGGGCCCCTCAGCCCTGCAGGGACAGCCAGGCTGCTGTCCTTATTAGGAGGGCTGTCTCCCAGATCTGGCAACCTGCACACAGGTCACCCGGTGGGTCGGGAAGGGACTGGCTCAGCACCGGAGCCTCCTGCCACTGACTCAGCTGCTGGGTTCCACGTCCTTCCTTCCCGCCACACTCCTGTCCCTTTACCAGAACGCACATCACGGGCTGGGCGGTGGCAGCCCCTCCCCGCAGGTCTCCGGGACAGTTGTGTCCGCTTGCCCAGGGTAGCATCCCTGCCTGCTTTCCCATGTGGCCTCGTGGATTTTCAGCAGCCCTGTGACATTGGTAAAATCGATTGGATTTCCACAGAAAAGATGGGCACCGAGGCCCAGAGAGGCTGGGCGGGGCACCAGACATCACACAGCTACAGGGCAGAGCTTAGGTCTGGGCCGTGTGACCCTCGCCGCAGGCCCCCTCCCTCTGATGTGATTAAAGCCTCAAAGCGTGAGGAGCATGGAAGCTCCAGCCAGAAGGTGGTTTTGTATTGAGAAGAACTGGCTCTGTTGGTCCACATCTCCCTCACCTCTCACTCTAGAAGAGAGTTCACAGTATTGGGTGGGGGCTGTGGGGGCTGTGGGGGGTTCCCAGGTAATTCTTCATCCCTGGAAGGCACTTTCCCGGACCCAGTGTCACGTGACATTCCCACTGCTCTTCTGGCCTCTTCTGCCTCTGTTTCAAAAGGAAACTTCCCACGAGGGGTGATCTGCCCGGGTGGCTCTCTTCCGCCCTGGGAGCTGGGCACATCCTGGGAGTGTCGCAGCAGGATGTGAACACAGTCACCGGCACGACCCACAGGCTGGGGACTGATCCCCGATGAGAAATGGAGGACTTGACAGTGCTTCATTTTTCTTTGTTATCTTCCTAACCTTTGACAGTCATCCGATTACTAATTGCAGTTATTTAAGGAGATAAAGTCGTATCACTGTAGTTGGGTGGACAGTTCTCGGGGTGGCAGGGGAGGCAGGTGGGTGTGACCAGATTACGGAGGCTCTGAGCCGGGCAGACGTCATCTCGTGGGCAGCAGAGAGCGTGTCAGCCGGGGTGGGGGCGGATACACGCTTTGGCGTGGTTGGCCTAGCACGGGGTGCGAGGTGATAAGGGGGAGACAGGAGGCAATTGTACCCTGAGGGGCCTCTGTCCATGCTGTCCCTGGGGACCTAGGGGAGCTGGGGGAGGGCGCTGCTGCCCAGAGCGCTGGAGATCTGTCCTGCATCCCCAGATGAGGTGGCCTGCCTTTCCCTCCTCTAAAAAGTTCAAAATCCACACTCCTTTGCCCGGAGAGACAAGCTGGGCCAGCGTGTGAGCAAATGTAAAAGGCAGAGCTGGGGGAGGGAGGGGCTGCTTGGGCCTGGCTGGGGGACCTGCTCGCAGACGGCATGGATGTCGGTGTTAGTTAATGACCAGATGCCCCAGGTGGGAAGTTGTTTCATTTGAGGCCAACTTCCAGCCCCACAGGGAGCCCCCCGACAGGGCCAGGAGGGCCCAGAGGCTTGGGCACGGGCCTCAGGTGGACGTGCGTCACTGGCCAGCTCTGCCCGGAGAGGCTGTGGGAGCAGATGGGTGGTGGACCCCAGGCTCAGTTTCTCTCCTGGGAGATGAAACTCCCCCAGGGCTGACCTCAGAGGTGAGGGGGGGAGGGTGCAGTGAGGTGGTGCAGGTAAAGCCTCACTGACCAGCCGTTCAGCTCTGTCTGGTGCCGGCACGTCATAGGTGCCCACTGATGGTTCCTGCTGTTGTCCCCACCCCCCAGCAAGGCCACGTTGGGGAAGGGGTGGGAGGGAGGTGTTAGTGGGTCCTTCAGGGCTCCCGGGAGCAGTGGGCCTGTGGTGGCTGAGCTCAGACCGGGCCTGCCTCCCTCAGGACCACTGCACAGGTGAGACTCGAACACCCCTCATCCTCGAATGACTCAGACACGCTGGGTGTACCAGGAGTTCTCAGAACTGCTTCCTCCTTCCCGGCGTGGACCATCCCTGCCAGTCAGGCCACCTGTCAGCCCAAGTCCCCAAGGCCAGGGCCAGGGAGCGCTCAGGTGGCTTTGGCTGGTGAACGACCCCTGTGGACGTGTTGGTGGTCGGTACCCACTCACCCTGACGCCTCTTCTCCCCTTCCTGACAGTACCTGAACCAGTTTGAGAACTGCTGTGGCCTGCGGGAAGGAGCCATCCTCACCTTGCTGAGTGACATTGGTAAACCCAGGCGCAGCCTGACTCCCAGGGCACAGCGGGGAGACGTCCAGGGGGTCGGCGGGGGCAGGGGGTAGTTCGGAGGGGTCGTCACCAGGTCAGGCAGGCGCTGAATAGATTTCCCTTCCTTCCGGACTAAGTCATGAAGTAAATTATGATGTATATCGAATAATAGATTTCCTTTCCCATTAAAACGCTCCACTCCCTGTTTTCCCGGAAAGGCCAGCGACAGCGTAGGTTGTCATTTGAGTGAATTTCATCCCCTGGCAATGAGTTTTTCCACTTCCACATTGGCAATTTTTGCTGGCTGCCGGCGTAGGCAAAACGGCTCGTTTAGTCCTTTGGTGCCACCGTGTCCTCCGAGGAGGGTGTCAGCCGCCCCCTCTGAGAAGGCCTGGCCTGCCTCAGGGGGAGCGTGACCTCAGCCTGCAGAGGTCAGATGCCATCTTCCCGACTCTGGCACCTGCCCTTTTTTATTTTGGAAAATCTCCAAGGGTGCACGGTGATGGTTTGAGATCTGGAGTTGGAGTTGCCCAGAGCTGATGACTAAGCACTTGCCCCCAGATGGGGGAGGAAGATAGCATTTCCACCCCTCTCCTGCCACAACTTGTTTGAAGCTGTGATTTTTTTTCCCTTTTTCTGTGTTCAAACTTCCTTTTTAGAAGAAAGTCAAATATATAGAAAAGCTGAGAGAGTAGCACAGTGAAACCCACACACCCTTCACCCAGGCTCACCAGTTGATACTGTTTCAAGCATCAGTATGGCCAGCGCTTGGCCTGGAGGGGCGGGTGGGCCTCCCATCCCCGCAGCGCTTGCCTCGCTGGTGCGGGCCTGCCTCTTCCTCACTCCGGGCGAGAAGGAAACGAAGAGGGAGGTTGAATGATGACACACTTAAGGCCTGGAAGAGGCCCTGTCCCTCTGTCCTGTGCCTCTGCCCTGTGGGTGGAGTTCAGCGCAAGGGCAAGTTGACGTTGTACAGGTTTGGGGGTTCTGTGCCCGCTGAGATAAAACTGACGTGTAACACGTGTAAGTTTCAGGTGTGCCGCGTGAAAACCGTCGCACCAGTTTTATGTGAGCAGAGTGGGCGTCAGCCTGTGTTGCTTTATGGGCGGATTCCTCTGATTCCCTAGAGGGTCCAGTCCGTAGGCCAAGAATCCCACCTGTTCCCTTGACACCTGGCCCATGCTGGCCCATCCAGGCTGTGCTTAAGACACTGCCCTGCTAGTGTCCTTTGCCGCAGTGGCCAGATCATCAATTCACTCTGATGAGTTGGCTTGAAGGCAGCTTAGTAAGTCAGGGAATATTCTTTTGCTCTTCACGGGCAGCTTTCATTTTGTTTCCCTCTGGTTAGAACTTCAGGTCATCTTTTGGGATGTTGTTCCCTCAGATGTTGTGCCTTCCCTCATTAGATGATTCGTGCATTCAGGAAATCATTGTTAAGGAAGTCTTTGAACTACTGGCTTAAGCACACTTAACTGTCTGCTTCCTCATGCAACCTTTCACTTCCTTGAGTGATGCTCCAGTGATATTAACAGAGCCTCTGCTGGTTTGCTGTTCTTTGATGTGGGCACGTGTCTTATCCAGTTACCGTTGCCTCCTGTGGTAGCTTTCCTATCATGTCATCAAGGTGTGTGTGTGTAAGTTACGTGTAAATCAAAATAACGAAGGTAGGCAGACCCCATGTGCTCGAGTGTTCAGCTCTCCTGTCAGTGGATGAATATCAAAGATCTTTAAGTCACTGATTCCCCGTCTTCCCTCTCTGGGGCCCCGACTTGGAAATAAGGAGGCTTTGAAGTACTAATCCCCAGGAATTAAACTCCTGACGGCCAAGACTGTGGTCACTGCTGTGTCTCCAGCATCCGGAACTTCTCTATAAATATTGCTCAAATGAATGAACTAGATCCCAAAGGAAATTAAAGTCAGGATATGTTTTTTATGAAGAAGAACAGATGTCCAGATATAATTAAATTGACCCTCCGGGTCAGCTACCCACCCTTCCACCTGTTGTGGTGTGACCTTGGTTTTCTTTGCTGTGAAATGGGAACATGACTCACCGCAGGAGAATTGTTGGGAGAATGGGGGGGTAACCCGTGGTCCCAGCACTAACCAGCAGTCACACATGCAGGTCCTGTTCTGTCCTTCCCACTCTGCGTTTGGATGTCTAGCACCCCTTTTGGGAACCCTTAGCCGCCCTGATTTGGGTCACGCCCTGAGGCTGGGCCCCCGTGAGCCAGGCAGGGGGCTGTCTCCTGAGACTGCCCTCCCGGGCAGTGGTTAACCTGGATCAGACCCCATCCCCCTTGGCCGCCTCCTGGGTGCAGGCACACCCCCTGGTCTAGAGGCTGCGTGGAGGCTGCTGATAAGCTCATGTTGTGCTTTCGTTTCCACTTCTGATTTGTGTCCAAGATTCATCACTTTTATTTCTTTTGCAAGGATGTCGTCATTGAGCCCGAGTTCAAAGGGTTTTCTGGAAGCTCATCTAACATAACCGTTTTGTATTCTGAAACGTTTCCTGAGCGTATTTTGTTCCATTTTGTCCCGAGTGTTGGCCCCGAGTTCCCTTTGTCGGAGCTGTCCTGCTGGTCTCCGCCACGTGGGCTCGGTTAAGCAACAGAGCCACGCCCTTGCCCGCCGGGTCTGGCTTCGTGGCTGCTCCGGGTTAAACCTCTCCTGGCCTCCCCGGCTTGCTCACTCGGAACAGCGTCAAGATTATAGACGGGGGCTGGGTTTTTCCAGTGAACGTTGAATTGTCCAGGAAGATCTCGCAGAGTACGCCCAAGGGACTGTGCAGATGCCTGGCAAGCATGGGGGTGAGCCCTGTTTCCTGTGCCCGGACGGGCCAGTAAGAGGTCTGGGGACAGGTACAGAGGCACTAGAAATGATCTGTCTTCCACATAAAGGGACCCAAAAATAGCTCAAGGAAGTTCTGTCTAAATGGACTTCATTTAAACAGTCTTGCTCATTATCCGTTGGAAGACATTGATGTGTTGTTTCCTTCTGCCGGCAGAGGGGCAAACTCCTGTGCACCCTGGGGTCAGGTCTCTGGTGTCCGAGGGGCGGGGACCCGCCCATGCCCACACCGGCTAGCAGGACTGGGGTCACGGCCCCACGGGATCTTAGATCTGAATCCATCTTGGTTCCCCAGGTGGCTGGTGCATCGTGGTGTCTGGCTGTCCTGTCCTCTGAGCCTTCAGGGGTCCCCTGTGTTTCGCTCTCTGAGTCACTGTCTCGGTCCCTGTTGGAGCTGCTTCTCCCCAGCGTCCAGCCCTTCCATGTTGCAGAGCAGAGAGGGCTCCAAGGGGAAGGCGGCTCCCCTGTAGGGATCAGGACGCTGGGCGCCCTACCTGGTGTCGCTGTCACTGCGGGTCTCCTAGTTTGTTCCGCTCATTACTTAGGTTCTGATGGCGCTATGGGTGGTAATGAAAGATGATTTCCTGGTCTCAGAACTTCAGATAATTTGAGTATAAAGTACGTTGAGAAGCGTAAATAACCAGATGAACAACTGTAACAATGATACAAGAGAAGACGGCCGCTCTCTGGCCTGCCTTTGCCGCTTCCCAGCGCTGTCTCCTCTGACGGGGCCCCCGCTCTGTGGAAAACTGTGGTGACTTTCTGGGCTTGTGTGTCCTCAACTTTAAAATGAGGTCTTGGATAGGTGATCTCTTGGGTTGCTTCTGACGCTAAATATTCAGTTTTCATCATTTAGGTTCTGATTCTCAGAAAGGTTGCCGGGGAAGTCTTTGTCGTCTGCTGCTCTGTCCCAGCCTGACTGCTTCCCTCCATTTCTCTCTCCTCTGCCTTTAGTGCATCATCTGCCCAGAGATTTGTCTCGATGCTTTCTGTTTATTCGCTCCCCATCCTGTGTGTCCCTCTGTGCACCTGGGTGACCGCCCGCTGCTCCCAGTTTTCTGTTTGTTCTCAGGGCATCTGTTCCGCCATCTCTTCCTAGAAGCCTCTGCGTTCAACTCTGACCCCCATCCTCAACTCTGTGTCCACGTCTGCACAGTATTACTCCCAAAGTCACTTCCAAATGGAAGTCCTGGACTTCCTTCCTAACCCCATCCCTTCCTGACTTTCTCTATCCTCTGTCACTAGTCCCATGTGTCTGCCAGTCACCCAGACCCGAGCCCCGATTCTGAATCTCGTCTCTTCTTAGGCTCTGCCCCTCTCCCAGCTCCACACCCTCCTGTTCACAGCCTCCAGTCCCTTCACCCTTCCTTCATGTTGTCTGTCTCGTTTCCCCTTTCTGTTCCCCCTGCCTTCACCAGTTCAGTGTCATAGCATACCTCTTACGGGTCCCCAGTTCCCATGGGGCTCATCCACCTTTCACGCTCCTGCAAGGATGCTTTCATCCCAATCCACCACGAGATCAAGGTCTTACAAATTTTGTGCTCTTTTATATATTTATTTTTTATCTTTTTATTTTTTTATTGAAGTGTGGTCAGTTACAATATGTCAACTTCTGGTGTACAGCATCATGTCCAGTTGTGCATATATATACATATATTCGTTTTCATATTCTTTTTCATTAAAGATTATTGCAAGATATTGAATAGAGTTCCCTGTGCTATACAGAAGAAACTTCTTTTTTTAATCTATTTTTGTGTATAGTGGTTAACTTTTACAAATCTCAAACTCCAAAATTTGTCCCTTTCCACCCATTTCCCCTGATAACCATAAGATTGTTTACTATGTCTGCGTGTCTGTTTCTGTTTTGTAGATGAGTTCATTACTGTCCTCTTTTTTCTTTTTTTTTTAAGATTCCACATATGAGTGATGGTATTTTTCTTTCTCTTTCTGGCTTCACTTAGAATGACAATCTCCAGGTCCATCCATGTTGCTGCAAATGGCATTCATTATTTTATTCTTTTTTATGCCTGAGTAGTATTTCATTGTATAAATATACCACAGTCTTTATCCAGCCATCTGTTGATGGACATTTAGGTTGCTTCCATGTCTTGGCTACTGTAAATAATGCTGCTGTGAACATTGGGGTGTATGAG